GGTGCTGAAGAGCGCCCCGCGGCCCGTCACCCACTCCACCCCAGCCCCACCCCACCGTGCTTGCGCCCTTCCCTCCCACGCCCCGCCCCGCGCGCCCCGCCCCCGCGGTCGCCAGGAGCTTGAGGGTCGGGTGGCCACATTTACCCAATAAAAATACAGCTGCGATTGCATTTGCACGTCAGATAAAGGGCCAGCCGTTATTTTAGTATAAGTATGACGCAAATCTGAAATGCAAATCTGTTGGGAGGCACTTGGAGCTGTTTTTGCGACTTTCCGATGTAGTTGGGCTCCTAATTTTATCTGGCAACCCTGACCTTGACTTTTTAAACTGGCTTTTTCTTGTGATTTGGGTGAAAGTTTACAGAGCACATTGGTTTTCCATTCAATAATTCATACACGTCTTGTTTTGTGGCATTCATTGCAATCACCGCACATAACAGCACTCACCTCCCTGTGTTTACCCGATACCTTGGTCCTTCTCTCCTATCCCTTCCTGCCTTCTGCACTTTATCCTCTGGTTTCGTTGGTTTACTTAAAGGAAGTATTTAAAATGGATCTTTCCAACTGATTTTTATGTACATCGGATTTTCTCTAAACCAGTGGCAAAATGGCAAAGAACTGGAGTTCACATCCTTAGGTCCAAAACCACCTCACTCTTATGGCTGATTTTAAACTAATAATTTGAACTTAGAGTACTTTTGTCCTAGGGTAAATCACCACGAAGTTATAGTAGTGAAGAAAAGAGATCTGGCATATGCAACAAAAAGGAAAAACACGTGGGAAAGAAGGGGACAGTCATCCAAACATTGTCTGCCAGAGGCCGAAGAACAGTACAAAGTCAACGTCATATGTTGTCGAGTCAGATTGGGCTCATAGCTGCCCCGGCCGTCCTCACAATCCTTGCTGTACCTGAGCCCATAGTTGCAGCTGAGACAGGTAGGGCTGGCTGAAACAAGCAGCCTCCAATGCAGTCTTCTTGGAATAGTTGTGTGGCAGACTATCACAATGCCGCACAGAACTGCTAGCAATGAACAAGCCAGGCCCTTAGGCAACGAAGTTACATTTCAAAAGCCCAGGGAGCTTGCCCATTGTAAAATGCTGACAAACCTCCGGAGCTGTCCTTCCCTGTCCTCACCAGGTGCGAGCATGCCCAGTGAAATTCAACTTGACCCACAAAGTGACCTTCCACCAGAGGCAGTCAAGAACAGGAGTCCCTCACTGGGACTTGAACCAGGGTCCAGGGACATCAGTGTGCAACAACCCAGAATAAGTCATGACAACATCCCAGCAGCGTTTGTAGTGGAATCCATCTGGCTACTTCCTGTGTGCACACTTGATTTTCATAACCCTATCTTTTTCCCATTTTGTGAATAAAGGTGATGCCTTTCTCCCACACACACACCTAAAACCCTTTATAAACCCTAGGAAATCCTTTGTTTGGTGAGAGACCAGAGGTAAAATCCCCTCTCTACTTCTCCCTCACAAGCCCCTCGTCTCTCCTTTCTCTTTAATAAATGTTCGTGTGGGCATCTTTCCTTTCCTGTTCAATTCTTTGTCAGTAGAAGGCAAAGACCCCTGCTCAGGGTCTCAAGGACCCTGGTAACACAGTCATTGCATCAATACACCTTGTTGAGAGTCTTCCCTATTTTCGCTGACCCTCCACTTTACCAAGCATGATACCTTTCTCCAGGGAATGGTCCCTTCTGACAACATGAGCAAAGTAGGTGAGACAAAGTCTGGCCATTTTCACTTCAAGGAGCATTCCGGCTGCACTTTTTCTGGGACATTTGTTCATTGGAAGTCCACAGTATTTTCTGTATTCTTCACCAACACCATAAATCAAAAGTATTAACTTTTCTTTGGTCTTCCTTACTCATTGTCCAGCTTTCACATTCATATGAGGTGATTGAAAATACCATGGCATGGGTTAGGCACACCTTAGTCTTCCAACGGACATCTTTGTTTCTTAACACTTTAAAGAGGTCTTTTGCAGCACTTTTGCCCAGTGTAACATGATGTCTGATTTCCTGACTGCTGCTTCCATAGCTGTTGACTGTGGATCAAAGTAAACCGAAATCCCTGACAATGCCAATCTTTTCTCTATAAGATGGATTAGGGGGAAAAAATAATCCAGAATGAAGGACATAATGAATAAAGTTATAAAGATGTTAAAGATGTAAGGCACACAGAGAAAAGGTGGACATCATGAGTAATTGTAGCCCTAGGAGAGGACAAACAACTAACTTGATGCAACGCACTGCTGTCAAGTTGGACTCAACTCACAGCGACCCCTCCTTGGGTTTCTGAGGTGGTATCACTACGGAAGTAGATTGCCCAACCTTTCTTCCAAGGAGTGGCTGGTGGGATTGAGCCGCCAGCCTTCGGTTAGCAGTCAAATGCCTTAGGCACTATGCCACCAGAGCTCCTAACTTGACAGTACCTGACAACAATAATAAGTTAAAGAACCAGCTTAAGGTGTTTCAGATATGAAATGAGGAGGCTCTGAGGACACAATAGGGGCTTATCCTAGGGTGGCTCCATGTGGTTAAGAGCCACATGGAGCAACTACCAGGTACATTAATGGAGAACCTTGTAAATTTCACATTGACACTGGTACTACATGCTCTGCAATTAACTCATATGTTAACAAAAGCCCCAGCCCCAGAGTATTAAAATTTTAAAAATTCTGGGGGTTACAAATCCGGAACAGACTTCAATTCTTTCAAAACCTGTTCCTATTTTCCTTATCCCTAGTGAAGATTTACATCCCTTTCTGTTTTAGCCCTGACACTCCAGTTAATTGGTTGGGCTGAGACCTTTTGTTTAAATGAGCCTGGCAGTTACAGTTTTCAGAAAAAGAAGAAGTATTATTAAGCCTTCCAGACCCACTGAAGACCTCTAATGAGGGATCTGAATCAGAACTAATTCAAATAAAGGAAGATACTTGCTGTTTGTAAGCATTAGTCATGCAAAGGGCAACATAACCTCCTCTAACTCATGCCCCAAGATCTTTTTTCATGAATTCCTTAAATGTTATGGGCCTATGTGGCACAGGTTTCTTCAGAAGAACCTATTAAACTTCACGTAACTCCTCTAAGCCTTTACTGAGACTTTCTCAATAACCCCTTAAGCAAAAAGCTAGAGAGGATTTAGCCCCTATAATGCAGGACTTTCTAAAGGATTAATTTTCCCCACACCAGCCCTTGTAAGACCTCTGTACTCCTTGTTAAGAAATCTAACAACAGGGGCTGGAAATTTGTACAGCATTTAAGAGCTGTTAACGCCATCATTACACATAGATTTCCAGTAGTCCCACATTCTCACTAATTTCTAGTGTTTCCCCAGATGCTAGCATTTTACTGAAATTGAACTTTGTAGTGCCCTTTCCAGTATTCCTCTCCATCTTAAAAGCCACTGTTTGTTTGCTTTCACTTGGGGAGGAAAAAAAAAAAAAAAAAAATCTGAAATTTATCTGGATTGTAATGCCTCAAGGCTTTACACTCTCTTGCATCTATGTCTCTCAAATTCTCCATGCTGATTTACAACCCTTGAAACTTAAAAATGAATGTACTTTACTGCAATATGTCAGTGACTTAGTCATATGCTTAAATTCCCAAAATCCTTGATGACAGCATAATCTTACTGAAACATTTAGCTTTCAAAAGTCATATGGTTTCTAGAGAAAAATCACAATTGGCCCAGCCTTCTATTAAGTATTTAGGTCATTTGACTTCTGAAGATGGTCTTTCTATTAATCCTAAGTGGGAGGATGCTATTTTTGCTTTTCCTGTCCCCCAAATTAAGAAACAATTATGTGGGTTTCTGTGGCTTTGTGGCTGCTGCACAGCTTGGATTCCTAATTTTTCCTTGTTAGCTCAACCCCTACACCAGATTCTTCAAAAGTACACCAAAGGATCAGGAAGCCATAATCAAACTTAAAAAAAAAAAAAAAAAAAACCTAGCAAATGTGCATTAAACTAAAAAACATAACTAACTGCCATTGAATCAATTCCAACTCATAGTGACCCTGTTGGTTTTCCAAGGTTGTAAATCTTTACAGAAGCAGACTGCCCAGTCTTTCTGCCATGGATCAGCTGGTGGGTTTGAACCAGTTAGCAGCCAAATGCCTTAACTGCTACACCACTTGAGCTCTTTGAACATGCATTAAGCTTTCCTAACTATCACCTAAATTTTCCCATTTGCACATGAAGTCTCTGCTAGGACTTTAGGCGTTTTTACCCAGAAGTATGGGGAACATCAAAGACCAGTATGTTATGACAGCCTGCAGTTCAACCCTGCAGCTCGACCCTGCAGCTAAGAGGTTTCCTCTCTGCCTCAGGGCCATTGCTGCTACAGCCAAACTAGTTAAGAAAAACAAACAAACAAAAAAAACAAACAAACAAAACAACCTGCAGATGTAGTGCTGGGAAAAAATATTAAATGTTTATGTTCCCCGTGCAGTATACAGGAGCTCTGGTGGCATAGTGCCTAAGGCATTTGACTGCTAACCAGAAAGCTAGTGGTTCAAACCCACCAGCCACTCCTGAGAAGGAAGATTGGACAATCTACTTCTGTAGAGATACCACCTCAGAAATCCAAGGAGGCTTTGCTATGAATCAAATGCTCTCCTTAATTCTGCTATGACCC